TCAAGAGTAATTTAGACTGCAACATTAAGCTTTATTTTCTTTCTTTTTCTTTTCTTTTTTTAAATTTTTTGACGGAGTGTCGCTCTTGTTACCCAGGCTGGAGTGCAATGGCGCAATCTAGGCTCACAGCAACCTCTGCTGGCTGGGTTCAAGCAATTCTCCTGCCTCAGCCTCCCGAGTAGCTGGGATTACAGGCACGTGCTATCGAGCCCAGCTAATTTTTTTGTATTTTTAGTAGAGATGGAGTTTCACCATCGAGAGCAGGATGGTCTCAATCTCTTGACCTTGTGATCCACCCATCTCAGCCTCCCAAAGTGCTGGGATTATAGGCGTGAGCCACTGTGCCCGGCCTAAGCTCTATTTTCTAAAGCTGAGTAGAGATTCACTTTAAGATAGATTAAGTATTTGCTTTGTGGACATAAAATATCAAATAACATTTAAGTATAAATAGGTATCTGTACCCAAGTTTAATCTTTAAATTCAATTATACAATGTTCAGGTCAGTGATTGGTTTTCTTAGTCAACCGTTACTAAAACTATTTTTCCGTGGAGAAATTGATGAGGATATATAAGCTCTCTTTCTCAGAGTGTGAAACTGAACAAACATAAATTAATGTAATCTAATTTTTCAATAGCGGAATGGTGATGAACACAAGCACAAGCACAAATAGGCAGTGACCATGTATTATGAACTAGCCGTTATTATGTTTAGTGTTGAACTTGCATAGCATTTTATGCAAGATTATTAAAGTGATACTAAAGGCATTTAGAGTATTCCTTTCACTCCTTTCCTCTACCCTTGACATTTGGTAATTTTAGACTTTCAGGATATAATTTTTTTTTTTTCTGAGAATTTTCAATGCTGAGAAGAGAGAAAATTTATCATCTTAAACATAAACTGGGCTATAAATTTTGACAGTAACAAATTAGAAATTAATTTATTGATTCATTTTTATTACTTATCTGTAGAAGTGATATCACTCTAACAACACTGAGGAAATCCATTTCAGATTTCCAGTTTTTCTCTATACCAAGTTGTTTCTGATTCTCATTCTTTTTGTGCCTCTCCCTTGATCTGCTTCTTATGATTTGTCTCTACATAAATAACTCAGGTAAAAGGCATTAGAAAGTGGTCACTGATCAGGATTAGTGATTGGTTTAGGGAAGAGGAAGTTGGAAGATAGAGTACTTCAGGGAAAAACATGGGAAACATATATAAAGAAAAAGGATCAACTATTTTCTTTCTAGCTGTAATTTAATTAGTTACAGGCTTTCGGTTCCATCTTACATGGTCAATTTCAAAAAGAAGGTTGATAACACTGTACTTTTTTTTTTTTTTGGTATGCTTTTTTTTTATTATTATTGTATCCAAATACTACAGTCTGTTAAGTATTTGGGTTAAAAAAAAATGAGAAAGATAAAAGCAGAGACAGAAAAAGAGATAAAGAGAAAGAGATTGAGGTAACCAGGATAGGCTAGATTAAGCTGTGGTAGTATATAGCCCCCAAATTTTAGTGGCTTAAACAAAAAAGATTTGGGGGTAGTTGTTGTTAACACCAATTGTCCATCAAAAATTGGTGAAGGCCTTTTCCCATCTTATCTTTGTTCAGCAATCCAGTCTGCATTGTCCAGAAGAGAAATAAGGTAAATTGTACCCCAGCTCTTAAATGCTTCTGCTCACATTTCATTGGTCAAGACAACTCATTTGGTCATGTCTAATTTTAAGGGACAAAGTTTCTGCACCCCAGAAAGATAACTAAAATTCTTAGTGTTAAGTTAATACCTATCATAGCTTATTTTTTTAAATAGGAACACAAGATTGCATATATAAATACAAATATAAGGTTAAATAGATTGACAGATGGATGGATTTTGGTTGGAGATGATTTAGTGTTTACATCTAATACTTGGGACTGCACCTGTTCTAGCAACATTTTCTAGTAGCAGATTTGAAAAGTGTGTGCCTTATTTCTCTGTAGAGTGAAAAATCAAAAAATAAAACAAACCTACAATGAGATTTGAGAGGTTAACTTGAAGAGTTAATCATGCTATCACTGTATTTCAATAACTATCTTTTGCTGAAAAATATACTTGCAGGGTATTTTTGTGTTAAGATATATAAACAATATAAATTAAAACATAAGTATGCATCAGGAGAGTTGGTATAGACATAGCAATCCAACAATTCTCTTCTTTAATATAAAGAGGTTTGCCAGCCTTTCAGCAGTGTAAACATTATTTTTCAATATTTCTATTAGTACTATATAAATTTACTAACACATTTCTACAATATTAAATTGTTCTTTAGAGATACATAATTTTTTGACCTTTACTGTGGTAAACATTAAGCTTTATGTTTACCTTCAACCCTACGATCTTATAACATGAAGAAAAATTTGTACAGTTTTAGAAAAAATAGATCTAGACTGAATAAAGTTAATAAAATGTTCCAAAAACTATACCTACAAAATAAATAATGTTCATACTTTTAGGACCATTTTTTTTTACATTGATCCACATCTGAATAATGAAGTAACAGATTTGAGACGGTAAAAATGCATTCTCGATCAAATCTTATTCACTTACTGTTTCTTGCAAAAAACAAAAATTATAATAATTATCATTAGATTCCCAAAGAGAAAAGCAACAATGAAAAGTAAAAACATCTTCACACCAGTTTTCCAGAATTCATTATCCATATGTTTAAAACACTCATACACACACACACACACACACACACACACACACACACAATTTACCCATTCAGAGTAAACTTTAAGCCGTGAGCCCTTCTTAGTAATCACATCTATGTTTATTTCAGCAAAGCAATCCAAAAAAACTTTGATGTTTTTGTAGCAAGCATTTCAAAATCAATCAATTTGACCAGGAGAAAAGCCTCTCTGACCAAACAAGGATTCTGAATCTTTAATTTGATAGTCGCTCTGTCATGTGTGTTAGACAATTAATGTTAACAACACAGATTTCTGGGCTTTCAAGTCTTTCGTAATGCTGAAGACATCCACTTTTTATTCTGTAAACCTCCCTCCCCCTTTGCTGACTGTAAGATTTTGAAATCCAGTACTTTCTTCAGAGCATCTGGCATAAATCACCATCAGACACGAAGAAGGAGGGGCAAATTCTATAGTCTGCATGAGAACGGCCTGACAGCTGCCAGTTTAATCCCTTGACAATGCAAAAATTTCTTCAAGGAGGGAATCCCACTTAACATGCAAACAGAGAGGCCCAATACCTTTGGTCCTCTTCCATATTAGTGACATTAATTAGAATGTAACAAAATGGTATTTTTTCTTTTTATGAACAAGCAGTTAAAATTATAGAAAATGAATTTTCTTATGTCAGCTTCTAGATTTACATAGTAAGTTTGAAATTGCATTGCACATTTACAGAAGTCAGTGTCTGACATACAGACGATTTTGAAAACACTGTAGTGTAATTGTTTGCTAAAAAACTTGAGGAATTTTTTACTTGAGTCCCAGAATGTAGGTTGGACATGGGAGATAAGAGAGATGTCATGGATGGACATAAATAATCTTTATGTTTATACATTTGTGTTTTTATTTATTTTTTTGTCCTCGAAGTACCTAGTAGTGTTCATCAGATGATCCTTATCATCAGGGTTGTGATCTGGTTCATCGTTGTGATGCCAGACAGAACGGCATTTACTAGAAACTTTCTATGCCTGCCTCCTGAAAAGTTATAGCTATTTGACCTCGTATGGCACATTCCATGACTCTAGTCTTTTTTAGTAATGCATTTCAGCAATTCACAAGCCTTAGAGCTATAAAGAAATGCTACTAAATGGAAACTCAAAGAGAGAAGGCAAACACGGCTTCCCATTTATTATTTAATATACTCTGGTATTCATTCCAAAACGGGCTGAATTATTTCACTCCCTCCTATGGTCAGCAGCCCTCCTTGCATTGACCATCATCTGAAGTTAGTGATGAGCCTGATCTGAAATTACTCTAATGAGTCTATTCTTTTTTCTTTGTTGAAAAAAAAAAAATACCTGGAAAAGTTGATCATTTCTAGCTCCTTCTTTGGATTTCTAATCTGTAAAATGGAGTTGTAATTATGTCTCAGTTTAACCTATGACAACAGAGACAGCCTGGGGACAATTCAAATTTCATTAGAATCTCTATCGAAAGGAATCCGCTAATGACAAGTCTTATTCTTGTTTTAAATCCTCCTCAGAATGTTTCAGAGTAACAGAGGCTAACACACATGTTATTACCGTCATCAGGGACTCTTCTATGCGCTGCAAATATTTATGCATTTTGTTGAGAACCTCAAGCGCCTTCTCAGATGTCCCTGATAGCCTGTTCTTGCTGTGAGAGCCCTACTGCACTAGGTCTTCTATTCACTCTCAGATTCTCATGAACCTCTCTGCAAGGTTTCTTGAGAAAACACCAAAGCCTGGATGAGCACATGGATTTGCAAGAGAGCTGTGGCTACGCTGGAGTGAACTTTGACCAACAGGAAACTTGGCCAATGAGAGATTGAGGCACGAAGATGACTTCCCTCTTCCTTCTCCTCTCCTGCCTATTACTCCAGGTACTGGCATGCGCAGAGAGAACCTGCTTGCCAAGGGATCTTTTGCATCTAGGGAACTTGCTGTGAAATCGTGCCAAGGTTGATAAACATCACATAATGTTACCTCTTTTGTTACCTCAGTTTCCTTTCCCTTTCTCTCTTACCATCCCGGCTAGAATTACTAAAATAAAGGATTAGGTCCTTAAATCTTGCCTTTTGCTTTCCCTTCTAAGAATAAGGTACTCATATCATCTTCAGAAAAAAATCCTACATGGTAGGTATTATGGTTTCACCCATTGTAGAGACAAGATAATGGAAACATAATAAAATAAAATAACTTAATAGAAATTAACATAGATAGTCAACAACAGACCATAATATCAGTTTGAGTCCAGAGTATATGTTCATTTTTTTCTATTTTTTTCTTCTTCTTTTTTTTTTTTCAGTCTCTGTGGAGACCATCAAAAATTGCCAATATCGACTATATTGCCAGTTCTCACGGCGGGGTATTGAGAAACATTTTCAATTAGCAATAATCATGCTTTGGATAAACCTCATGGCTATGATACTGCCACTGTGCAAAGCTAGTATATGCACTTAAACCAGCACAGTATGATGCTCTGGATCAGGAGGCCAGCTTGGAGTCAAACCTTTATGACAGCTTCAACTCCACAGTCACAAAGAATGTTTTGGTAAGAGCAGGAGAGGATAAAGAAATAACACTTAAGATAGTTTTCTTGGGTCCTGAACAATTCCATAGACAACGTGACAATTAACAATGCCACATTTAATCTACTATTTAATTGAAATATTATTGCCAATATTAGCGTCTGCTCATTCACTGATCCCATAGCTATATAGCAGGGAAGTAGAACTCAATACTGTCATGGCCAGAATCTTTTCAGGAAGCAAGGTGAGTAAATATATTCTGGGTTACCATATTCTTTGAACAAACCTCTGGAAGAAATCCTACATATATCTGTATATTGCCTCAATAACTTAGAGCAAAGTTTACTTTAACTTTAAATAGTAAATCCATCCACAATGGAAGACTAAACATTTCTTAGTGATCATTCCCATCAATTTTTAACTATATGTCTTTTTATACTTAAACTTCCCATTTAAAAATCAAACCTAATAAATCCTCAAGTTAAGGTAGTAGTGGATTCCCATTAACCAAACCTAAAAAGCAGTTATCATAAAAAAATTGTAAGCATGGAAATAGATACTTGATTGTGAAAGTATAAAATTAATATTTGCTTACTGTGGTTTACAACTTGAAATGTCAACATTAAAAAGTTGAGAAATCTAAGCATTTGTTCCTAATAATATTTTCTCACTCATATACAGTAATAAATCTGACAACCTACTTATTATTGTAGAATGGACTATGGTCCACCTCAAGTACATGTAAACCATTCCATTCGTTCCAAAAAATCAATTATAGTTCGTTCAGGAAATTGTAAGGAAGTCTCAAAACCAAGTTGCATTTTTTTGAGTCCCAACTCCAAACTCCACGTTCTTCAGACCCGTAAGTTAAATATTATTCTTTGAATCCTCAACCCTCTACTTTCCACATTTCAAACATCAGATTTTTACCAGTTTTTTCTTTATAATGTTTTTTCTATTTTAATATTTTTCCATTCTCATAGCTTCAAAGCTGCACATACTGTACTTTCTGGTTATAATTCAACCAATATGGCCCTGCACATTGTAGAAACTGTACGACAGTTTAGGGAGAAGCATTTCCATGAATTACAGGCTGCATTACATCACTCCCCCTCAGTTGTGATGCAATTCACATTCCCCTACAATCACAATTCTCCATTTGATCAAGAACATCTCTTCACATCCAACTGGTTTAATCAAATTTTTAAATTGTTTTCACATGGTCTCCATTCTATTTAAAATGCTATGCTTCTGTTCATCATCAGTATCTATCATCCAAATCCTTCAATAAAGAGTGAAATTTGCAGACCAAATAATGCCATTGTTACATTTATTTGAGTGTTTCGTTTTGGAATATAATTTTGGGTTTTCTTTACTATATTTTAAGAAAAAATTCTACCAAATTATAATAAGCACAATGTATTAATATTAGACAGGATTGTAGGTATACTTTAAAAAATCCTACCAAATTATTATGAGCCCACATATTAACATTAGTCAGGGTTCTCTAATGAAACAGAACTAAGGGCGTGCGTGTGCGTGTGTGTGTGTGTGTGTGTGTGTGTGTGTGTGTGTAGACAGAGGGAGTCAGAGATTGACAGTTTAGCACTGGCATACTGTATTTATTGAAGATGTTACACTTCTAACAAATTGAGGGTTTGTGGCAATCCTACACCGAGCTAGTATATCAGCACTAGTTTTTCAGCAGCATGTTCTCACTTCATATCTCTGTGTCATATATTAATGTCTTGCAATATTTCAAAATTTCTCATTAGTATTATTATGTCGTTTAATATCGCTTGGAAATTGTTCCCTCCAAATCTCACATTGAACCTGGATCCCTAATGTTGGAGGTGTGGCCTAGAAGGAGGTGTTCGGTTTCTGGGCACAGCTCCTTCATGAGTGGCTTGGTGCCTTAATGAGTGAGTTCCTCACTCTATTACTTCCCGTAAGAGCTGGCTGTCTAAAAAGATCTAACACCCCTCTGCTCTTGCTCCCTCTCTCACCATGTGACACACCTGCTCTCCCTTTGTTTTCTGCCATGATTAGAAGCTTCCTGAGGTCTGCACAAGAAGGAGATGCTGGTGCCATGCTTCTTGTACAGCCTGCAGATCCATGAGCCAAATAAAACTCTTACCTTCATAAATGATCCAGCTTTAATTATTCCTTTACGGTAACACGAAACAAAAATATATTTTGTGCTGATCTGTGAGCAATGAACTTTGATGTTATTATTGTAATTGTTTTGGGGTACCACAGATCACAACCATACAAGAGGGTAAACTGAATTAATAAATATGTATGTTTGGACTGCTTCATCAACTGGCCATTGCTCTGTCTCTCTCCCTCTCCTTGGGCCTTCCTACTCTCTGAGAGACACAGTATTGGAATTAGGCCAAGAATGACCTCTAAATAATGAAGTGAAGAGTCACACAACTCTCACTTTAAATTAAAAAACCAGAGATTATTAAACTTAATGAGGAATCATGTCAAAAGCAGAGACAGGACAAAAGCTAGGCCTCTTAGAGCAAACAGCCAAGTTGTAAATACAAAGGAAACTTTTTCTAGGAAATTAAAAGCGATAAACATGAATAATAAGAAAGCAAACAGCCTTATTGGTGATACGGAGAAAGATGTGGTGATTTGGACAGATCAATGATGCCACAACATTCTCTTGAGCCAAAGCCCAATTCAGAGCAAAGTCCTAACTCTCTTCAATTCTATGTAGTCTGACAGAGGTGAGGAAACTGCGGAAGAAAAGTTTGAAGCTAGCAGAAGTCAATTAATGAGGTTTGAGGAAACAAGTCATCTACAGAACTTAAAAGTGAAAAACGAAGCAAGATACTTACCTGGCAGGGGAGATACCATGATCACGAAGGTAGTTTTCCTAGGGCGAGGCTTATCCATTGCACACAGGGTGTGCTGACCCCTGCAATTTCCCCAATTTGATTGCATAATTTGTGGTAGCGGGGGACTGCGTTTGTGTTTTCCCCTGGCATTAAATTTAAAAAATAAAAATAAAAATAAAGAAAAACAAAGCCAATTGCTGATGAAAAGCTGCAGCCATTTATCTAGAATATCTAGCTAAGATCATTAACAAAGGTGGCTACATTAGCAAGAGTTCCAATGCAGACGAAATAGCTTTCTGCTCGAAGATGTCATCCAGGACTTTAATAGCTAGAGAGGAAAAGGTGTGGCCTGGCTTCAAAGCTTTAAAGCACAGGTTGACTCTCTTGTCAGGGGCTAAAGCAGCTGGAAACTTTTGAGTTGAAGCCGATGCTCATTTACCATTCTGAAAGTCATAAAGCCCTTAAGAATCATGCTAAATCTACTCTGCTTGTTCTCTATAAATGAAACTACAAAGGTTGGATGACAGTATATCTGTTTATAGCATGGTTTGCCGAATATTTTAAGCCCACCATTGAGATCTACCACTCAGGAAAAAAAAAAATGCTTTTGAAAATATTAGTGTGCATTGATAATATACCTAGTCACCCAAGAGCTCTGATGAGATGTAAAAAAAATTAGTGTTTTCATGCCTGCTAACATAGAATCCTTTCTGCAGCTTATAAATCAAGGAGTAATTTGAACTTTCAACTCTTATTATTTAAGAAATATATTTTTTGAAGCTATAATTGTCATAGACAGTGATTGCTGTACTGGATCTGGGCAAAATAAATTCAAAACCTTCTGGAATGGATTTACTGGATTCACAATTCTTGAAACCATTAAGAATATTCATGTTTGATGGGAGAAGGTCAAAAATATCAATATTTAGAAGAGTTTGAAAAAAGTTTATTCCAGCCCTCATAGATGGCTTTGAGGCGTAAAAAACTTCAGTGGTGAAAGTCACTGCAGATACAGTGGAAACAGCAAGAGAACTGAAGTAGTAGTGGAGCCTGAAATGGGACGAAATTACTGCAATCTCATGATGAAACTTGAACAAATAAGGAATTGTTTCTTACAGATGAGCAAAGAACATTGTTTCCCAAGACAGAATTTACTCCTGGTGAAGACACTGTGAACATCATAGAAATGACAACAAAATATCTAAAATATTATACCAATTTAGTTGACAAAAAGTAGAGGGGTTTGATAGAATTGACTCCAATTTTGAAAGAAGATTTACTGCAGGTAAAATGTTATCGAACTGCATTATATACAACAAAGAAATCATATGGGAAAGAAAGAGTCTGTCAATGTGGCATATTTCACAATTGTCTTATTTTTTAGAAATTGCTACAGCTACCCGACCTTCAGAAACCATCACGTTGATCAGTCAGCAGGTATCAATATTAAAGCAAGACCCTCCACCAGCAAAAGGATCACAGCTCACTGAAGGCTTGGATGATTGTTAGCATCTTTTAGAGTTTTTAAACTAGTGTGTGTAGATTACCATTTTAGATACAATGCTATTACACACTTAACATACTACAGGATAGTGTAAAAATTAACTTTTGTATGCATTGGAAAATAAGCGAAATTGTGTGACTGACTTTACTGTGATATTCACTTCACTGTTGTGGTCTGGAACAAAATCTGCAATATCTCTGAGTATGCCTGTATAAGGAATTGGATTGCATGATTATGTGGGCTGGAGAATTCAAAATCTGCTGTGTGCTCATCAGGCTGCAAACCCAAATACTCAATGGTGCAGATGAAGTCTAAGGGCAGTGTGCTAGAGAAATTTCTCTTGCTCAAAGAGGCTAGTCTTTTAATTCTACTTAGGCTATCCACTGATTGAATAAGGCTAAGCCACATTATAAAGGATAAGGTTTTACTCAAATTTCACTGATTTAAAGGTTAATCTCATCCAAACCCTCCAAGTTGACACATGAAAATTAACCATCACACTTAATAAATGTGCCTGTTACTGAAGTAACAGCAGACAGCACTCATGCTCCGCTTAACAGTGAA